ACCAAAAAAAAAAAAAAAAAAAAAAAAAAATCCGAGTTAACCTGTAAATACCAAACGAAACGTGTACGGTATGGTCAAATCAATTTTACCAAGCACCGGTCAAATAAACCAAGAAAACAGAGATAAAATTCCAAAGCCGTGTCCGTATTCGAACGACATTATCGTCATCGTCGGCGTTTGTCTTGTCTCCATCATCGTTCTCACCGCCATAGAACGATCAGAGCTCCCGCTCAAAACGCAACGTTTCGGAGATCTGCATGGGTTGAGCCGATTCAACTCACCGAGTCAGGGCATTCCATTCAACGACCTCGCAAGAAACTAAACATCCCCAAATTCTGATTCGAAACCGAAATGGCCTCGCCAAACCGATCTGCGGAGAACATCGTCGACGCGACGCCGCTGTTGACCAACTCGGGCGGGTCGTCCGACGATTCGAACTCGGGGCGCCAGCGATTGGTGCGCCGACAGAGCCTGCAGCAGGCCGCGCGGTTTCTTCGCCAGGCCAGCAGCCGCCGCCTCATGCGCGAGCCGTCGATGCTGGTCCGCGAGACCGCGGCGGAGCAATTGGAGGAGAGGCAGAGTGATTGGGCGTACTCCAAGCCAGTGGTGGTTCTCGACATCATCTGGAACTTCGCCTTCGTCGTCGTGGCGCTGACGGTCCTGGTTCTGAGCCGGTACGAATTGCCGAATGTGCCCCTGAGACTGTGGATCGTGGGTTACGCTGTGCAGTGCGTGGTGCATATGGTTTGTGTTTGCGTGGAGTTTCGGAGGCGGCAGTCCCGGCAGAGAAGCCGGTTTGCGGGGGTGAATTCCGCGGAGGAAGGGGTGGGGAGTGTTGGGAATTTGGGTTCTGGGTCGAGAGAGGGGGATTTGTCATCGCAGTACGTGTCGTTGGCTGATCATATGACTGAGGAGGGTACCAGGTAACAACGTTAGCTGTGCTTCGCAATTGTAATGTTTGTTTTTTTATGTGGTGTTTGTTGGTGGGTTGCTGTTAGTTGCTGCAATTTATGATTCGAATGCGTAAATGTTGCTGGAATAATGGTGATTTTTATTTTTTTTTATAATGTTTTTGCTGTCTTTGGCATTGTTGTTCATGCCATTTGATTCTTAGTAAAATTTACTTTTACTTGTAGCTTGGCCCCAATCTCTTTGAAACCAATAGAGGGATCGGTATTTATGCGAAATTATGATGTAGAGTAGAGGATTAGATAAATGAGTCTTTTTGCGTTTACGGATTGCTGATGGCACTGGTTTTCTCTCGTTTGAAGCTCTATAAATCTGAAGTTTTGTTTGCTACCTGTCTGTTAGAATCGGTTATTGACGATTGAGCTGGTTTTGTATTGGGATTGTAGGATGCTGTTATATTTGGAGCCAGTACTGTGCAAAAAGTTAATGACATATGCTGTTATTTGTTACGTTTATCGTAATTTCATATCTGCTCATTGTTTTTGCTTGTATCTTTCAGCAGCGTTGCTAAACACCTGGAATCTGCAAATACAATGTTTTCGTTTATCTGGTGGATCATTGGGTTCTATTGGGTATCGGCAGGTGGTCAATCTTTAGCAAACGCCTCCCCGCAACTTTACTGGTTTGGGCTCTCTCTCTCTCTCTCTCTCACTCTCTCACGCTCATCCATTCATTTGAAATCAAGGATAAACTCTTAACCATGGCAATGTGGCTTTGTCTGCAGGCTATGTATAATTTTCCTGGGTTTTGATGTGTTTTTTGTCGTTTTCTGTGTTGCGCTGGCATGTATCATTGGTATCGCGGTTTGTTGCTGTCTTCCGTGCATTATTGCACTTTTATATGCTGTCGCAGATCAGGTAGTTCTCATGCCCAGTTATCTCTCTTTTCTGTGTGTGGGGCTGTGTTGGTTTTCATGTTCATAACTATCAGTGTTTTCTGTCATTACCACTCCATAAGTTAGGTGAATATTGCTGTAGTACTGGTTTATAAGTACTAGACTAGAGGGTTGACAAATGAAAGCAGAACCTGACACGTTCTATATAATTCTGCGATAGCAAACTTTATTTACCAAATATTTGATAATAACACAAATTAGTCGAATCTTGTTAATTTGAACAGAAATTTTGATGTATTAAGATCCTCAGTGGGAGAATTTGGACTCTAAAATGGGACCCAATTGTATGGGCTTGCTTCCAGTTTAGCATAACTTTATGTGGGGTGGGTTGGAAAGTTCAGTTCTGATGTTTTGTATAGAAGAAAGTTTGTGGATAGCCTTTATGAGCTCAAAATAACAGGCAAGTTCCCATGTTGGTAAAACAATAAATTAAACCATTCCTTTCTTTCATTAACTGTTAACTTTCGTCACCTTAGAAATTACGGGTATCTCCTTCTTAGAATTTGATACTAATCATAGATAGTTGAATTTCATGGTGTCTCCGTAGAGCACCTTATGTAACTATTATGATTCATAGATCTCTTCTTTCTATTGATATATGAGGTTTACCAAACTTGTTGCATAGTAGTTTCTCTTGGAGCACTTTGGGGATGAAAGATTTATTAATATTATACTAATTTGTTTCATTTATTAAATTTTCTGGCTCTCTTTTAGTTGCATCAAATTTATTGGGCCTGACAAAAATTTGATGGGAATGTGCTTGATTTTTGTTGTCGTAACTAAAACTTGGAAGTAATTTGAATTATTAATTTACTGAAGTGTAGCTGTTAGCTCTTAGCATTAATATCAATGGCATTCTTCATGTCCCCGTATTATGTTTGTGTGACCTGCTATTGAAGCAGGATGGAGCATCTAAGGAAGACATCGAACAGCTTCCAAAATTCAAATTCAGAAAAGTTGGTAATGAGAAAGTTGCCGGCGATGTACAAGGTGGGGGAGTAATGACTGAATGTGGTACAGATTCACCCATTGAACATGTTCTTTCTCAGGAGGATGCGGTAAGCTGCTCTTGATTTTTGACTTACAGTCTTGTTTACTCTCTTGAGTTCTTTTAGTAACGAGGATTTTGTCTACATGAGCTGTCATAAAGTTGGTTTTGTTTTGTATTCGTGTCACAAATGGACTGTTCACAAAATTCTTCTTACATCAGTTAGATGATCATTGCGATTTACAGGAGTGCTGCATCTGCCTTTCTTCTTATGATGACGGAGTGGAACTGAGGCAACTTCCTTGTGGCCACCATTTTCACTGTTCCTGCATTGACAAGTGGCTTTTTATCAACGCTACCTGTCCTCTCTGCAAGTACAATATCTTGAAGAGTAGCAGCCAGGATCAAGGGGAAGTTTAAAATTCCTCTCATCATAGACTTATGCTTGGGCACGCTGCAGAATTACATACAAATTTGTGCTCGAGACTTGAGTGTAATCATATGCAAACTTGGCACTGGACTCAAAAGCAGGCTTGCTGGAGAGTAACCAAATGCAAAAGCTTCGCCCTCGACACACTGCAGGTCTTCTATATTGTCATTGTTAATGTTGTTTGCTGTTGTAGAGTAGGCATAGCAGTTGTCATTGATCTTGTCGGCGTAGTAGTGACTATGACAACGGCACATCGTTTTCGTTGTTGCCCTGGCGTTCTTTAGGTGCTTTCTGTACATGGGTGTTGCCAGGGCATTTCCACGGTAAATTATATATATAAACAAACTGCTTCGAAAGAAGGTTCACTTGATTGTGTAGAAATGCGTTATCACAAGTTAATAAGATTATTTACTGACCGGACCCTTGTTAGTATTCGATGTGCTTGCAAATTACAGTCGTGCACATCAAGCTCGTAACAAGGCATAAATCCCAATGTCTACTTTTGTATGGCACTTAAAAGGGCTGCTATCTCAGTTTGTTTATACTGTAACACGTAACACGTAACACGCAACACACGTTCGTATAAACCAAGTTTTTGTTGAGTAACGAAACGAAGAAAATGATCACGAGTCAATTGTTTATTGGATAAACTTGACCTGAACAAAGATGTATCCCCTTATTCTTTTGCCTCTCATCACGTGAGAGCAGACAGAAATTGATGAGTGGTAAAATAACATGCGGATATTTTCGGAACTTGCCCCATCGCTTTTTTTAAAGAATTTCTGGACCCAGCCCGTTTGTCCACCCCTAAATATGGTTGCAAGTTGGATGGCCTTTCACAATCAAATCAATTAAACAAAATGATAGGATTGGGGGATTTAAATGATAGCAAGTTAAACCCACCAACCTCTGAATTTGTCATGGATCTACACTTACCCAACGTGGAAAGATAAAGGGTGGTGCTATTTTTACACTTTTTTTTATCTTTTTTTTTTTTTTATCTTCTAAACACTTTTGTTAATTATTGTCTTTTTTTTTTTTCAGTTCGTTCAATACGATGAACAAAATTAAAAGGCGTATGTGAGAAGTAAAAATGAGTGTGGATTGCACCACGAATTGCCAATGTAGTGAAAGTCAATTGATTGGATTGGATTTGATGAGCTTTTAATCTTTACATTTGGAAATACTAGACAACTGGTGGTTGTTTTTGTTTTTCTAGCGTCTCAACCACTACTACTTATTAGAAAGAAAATTGCAAGAAAGTTCTCCTCACTCTCGTCATTGATTTGATTCAAGTATCAATCTTTTCACGACATTGGGCATTTTGATGTGTACCCCTAGCTTCTCCACCAGGAAAAAACACAACAATATATTTGTTTCACGAAAGTGAGATTCTTTTTAATATAAAAATATTGGGAAAACGAGAAATCAAATATAGAATCTCAGTGTAGCGTAACATTCTAGAATGATAAGCTAGCTCAAGGAAGGGAATCCTTAAGCTATAACCTAAGAAATACCGTTGAAATATAAATTTTATATAGAGCTCTCAAAATATATTTATTACTCTAATATTTTTATTGCATGCTCCTTTTGATTTTTCCAAAAGTTCATTTCAAGTGAAACTAAATTTATACCAAATCAATTTACACTCGCTAAACATAGGAGTGTATTTTTTCGAAACATATGAAATAAACAACATTGTTTTATCAACTAGCTCGTAATCCAAGTTCAAATCTTCATTTCTCGTTGTTAGTAAAAAATAAATAAAGATCTTACATAAACTTATAAATAAATTAAGCTCATCATATTTTTCGTTGTTTCCAAACAAGGTAATAATAATTTCTCATCTCATCTCCAGAGAAAGTAGACATAAAAGTTACATTCCCAAAAAACTTAATCCGCGACTAAACGGGACCAAAGTAAAGACGTGTTGGGTTCATCCAAGTGTGTGGTTTTAGTGCAAATTATTGACATGGTCCCAGCCATCTGCCTCTTTACAACCAAAACCCATGTGACCTCTCCGACCTTGACGACTCACAGAGCACTCACCCAATGGTGGCAGTAGGGTTGTGACCGGCGTACCAATGACTGCCACACATACCAAAATCCGGTACAGTCGTTGAGTTTAAAGGCCGGTGATCGGTGACCGGACCCAAATTCTCCAACTTCACAGAAAGGTTCACAATCCCATTAGTCCTGGAACCGTCCCTAGCCCGTAGCCGGTAACTCAAGAACCGTGCCGAACTGGCCGGCGGGAACCCAATATCATTGACCGGGATTTGGCACCAACCCAGCTCAACCCGGCCCATTATGAGCCTCTTGGTGAAGAGCTGGAGATATATGCAAGAATACCTGTTGTTGAAGAAAGTTGTATCAATAGGGACATGAAATTTGTCACCCCATGTAGGGCTGACGCCTCCTTGATCATCCACCCTTGTTTTGTACACGTGGAGGGTGCGATCACCGTTGGTTTTGGGTGTGCATGGCTGAGCAATAGTGGACGGGAGAGTGGTGATGGTGACGAAGGGTCTGATTTTGTTGGAGAAGAGAGAGGGAGATGAGGTCTTCAGACCTTGGGCTGATAGCACTGTGATCTCCATCTTCATCAGTGGCTGGTGGCTGTGCTGCTTCAACATGGTGACATATACATATACAATATATATATATATATATATGTATGTTATATATATTAAGATCTTATATATATTGGACTTGGAGGGTGTCTATATATAATATATGGGTGTGTGTAGGAAGCTGTATATATTTATTTGATAAAGGGAGGTGGAGAAATATTCAAGAGGAGAGAATTATTGGGAGCTTGAAGGCTTCTTACAGTGCAGTTTCCTTGTGGGGGAAATAGATATGGAAATTTAAGGGGTATATGTGCAGCTATGTATGACTCAGACTTGCTGACACTCAAGAAAGCAAAACAAGGAATTTTCCCGCTTGTCAAGTCAACTTGAATGAGAGGTTTTTTTGCTTGTTTTGATGTTTTCATCCTATACACAAGCGAAGTCAATAGCAAAAGTGTCCTAATCGTTGTTTTTACGTCTCTAAGTCATAACATAAGAGTACATTTCCAATTTTAATAAATATATTAAATAAGACGTCACTTAATAATACAATCTAGTGGTATTTCTTTCTTTTTGTAAGTAAGATGTATTAAGTTCGACTTTTGTAGAGGACCAGTTGAAACTTTTTCACTTCGTCGAAATGATACAATGCTCTTTCAAGTAGATTCATCTCAAATCTTGACCGCTCCTCTATTTCATCCCTCAAGAGGTTCTTATTTCATGCCTTTGTTTGGCCGGTCTTCACAAACCTCCTGACATTCCACTCCAAGCACCAAACACTATCACTCTAATAACAAAAACTTGAATCGGATACACTACTAAGGCAATCTCCAATTATGGAGGGCTACATAGGCCTCAAAAATATTATTTTTTAAAGAATAGTAACAAACTATTTTTTTCCATCTTCAACCATATTGGCTAAATATTACTCTCTATATATTTTTATTACTTTTTAGTATGCCCAAGTACCTTTTCACCATGTCATTAACTAACAAGCGGAAAAAAAAATGCCTACGTGCTTGGGGGTGGCACTTTTTAGGCCTTCTGGGGGGGGGGCTGATTTGAGCCCCGAATATACCCATTTGTAAATGCTCTTTGGTTGAAGATTATTTTGTTCAATTTCAGGGTTAATATTGACTAGATGTCCTTTGATTGGAGATAGTCTAATTAACATCCCAAACACACGATATCACTACAAGCATAGCACAGACGTCTCTGGCAGCAGTTAGTGCATTCACGCACGATCAAGAAAAATAAGTCTAAGGGCTTAGTCAATACTCCAAGACTCGTGACTCACAGACTTAGATACATATATGAATATTAATTAAGAATAATCTTTTTCTTTTCTTTTGATTTGTTTTTCCACAAAGTTGTCGAGCAGCATACGGCGGGGTGTGAAAGTCGTTTTGTCATACACATTATTCTTGTTGTTTTAATTAATTAGTGATCACAGATATCTGGCCGTCTTTGGTCTGCAGAGATGAGCATTTTTCCATGCAAATTAATTTGCAACGCAATTGCATGGTGGGAACTCGGAAAGTATATCATGTTGGTATATGATCCAGCTCATGATGAATGTTCTAGATTATTCTAGTAAGTAAGTGAGGTGGTTGGAGCATGCTAGACAATTCTAGCAAGTTATTAAGTTGGTGGAAGAAGCTAGAAAGTATTAGCTTCCTTGGTTGCAAATGGAAAGATCTAGAAGCTACAATTTTGTGGCTAGTCTAGAATTAAGCTAGAGGTTTGTAGAATATACTAGAAACTAGAAACTAGTAGAGTGCCAAGTCCTCACCTATAAATATGGGTGTGATGTTGTAGTGATGTAACCAATCAAGAAAGTAGTGAGTAGCAAAGGATCAAGTCCAACGCTAGAGTTCCACTCCAAGAGTGAAAGTGAGAGTGTTTCACTACACATTGTGTGAGTGAAGTTTAGAGTGTCCATTTTGTACTTTACTTTGTGTATTATCTATCTTGTAGTACCGACATTCCTAACAAGTGGTATCAGAGCCAACCGGGCTCGTACTATGAAAAAGTATCAGAGCCCGGTTGGCTCGTACTACGAGATGGAAGGAAGTGGCACTATGATCAAACTCACCAACTCCAATTGGGTAACATGGAAGCCAATGATGAAGGATATTCTCTATTCCAAGGATTTGCATGAGCCAATTGAAGGAGATGCCGTTAAGCCCGAGAGCATGTCCGATGCCGAGTGGAAGAAGATGAATCACAAGGCAATTGGCACAATTAGACAATGGGTGGACGATTGTGTTTTTCACCATGTGTCTAATGAAACCAATGCCCGTGAGTTTTGGACGAAGCTTGAGTCCTTGTTCGAGAAGAAGACCCCAGCCAAGAAAGCCTTCTTGATCAAAGAACTCATCAATGTGAAGTACAAAGATGGTTTAAGTGTAGCAGAACACTTAAACAATTTCCATAATATCATCAACTAGTTGGCTACTATGAGCATGACAATTGAGGACGAGTTGCAATCGCTCTTGTTACTTGGATCCTTGCCAGATAGTTGGGAGACATTTGTGGTGAGTGTAAGTAACTTTGGTCCTAATGGTGTTCTTACTCTTTAGAATGTTAAAAATAGCATGCTCAATGAAGAAACAAGGAGAAAGACTTCTGGCACAGATAGCTTCCAAGTATCTGTCACAGAGAACCGTAGAAGAAGCAAGAGTAGAGGGCCTAGAGGTCATGGCAGGAGTCCTAACTGATCCAAGTCAAGATTCAGAGGTGCATGCCACCATTGTGGTAAAGAAGGCCATATGAAAAAAAATTGTCGAGTTTGGAAGAAAGGGCAAAGGGAAGGAAACAATCAAAAGAAAGATGATACTGGTAATACCACCGTTGTCATATGTGGTGATGTACCAGAAATATTGTCTGTTGGTGAATGTCTGCATATGGGTGATTCAAACAGAGACATTGAATGGATCTTTGACAATGAAGCTTCCTTCCATGATACATCCAAATGGGAATTCTTCAGTACATACAAAGAAGGTGACTTTGGCATAGTGAAGATGGGGAATGAAAGCTATTCCAAAATTATTGGAATTGGTGATATTTGCCTAAGAACTAACCTCGGCTGCCAGTTGATGTTGAAAGATGCGAGACATATTCCTGATATACGTCTCAATCTGATATTCATCGGTACCATTGATCGACAAGGTTATTATCACCATATTGGCGAAGGAAAATTGAACTTATTAAAGGCTTAATGGTGGTAGAAAGAGCACAACTTTGTTGTACGTTGTACCGGTCAAATGCCAAGGTTTTGAAAGGTGAGTTGAATGCTGTGGAGGACTCATCTCTAGACTTGTGGCATAAAACGCTAGGCCACATGAACGAGAAAGGCCTACAAGTTATGGCAAAGAAGCCTCACATTCCCTTTGCCAAATGTACGTCATTAAACTCTTGTGAGCACTGTTTATTTGGTAAACAAAGAAGAGTTAGTTTTTATGTTCCATCTACAAAGAAAGGAAATTTGTTAGATCTTGTTTATTCAGATGTGTGTGGTCCTATGGAAGTCGAGTCACTTGGAAGAAATAAATATTTTGCTACTTATATTGATGATGCTTCACGAAGGGTCTGGGTGTTTTTGTTGAAATCAAAATACCAGGTGTTTTAGACATTCCAGGAGTTCCATGCCATGGTGGAGAGGGAAACTGGGAAACCTCTTAAGTGCCTTCGTAGCGACAACAACGGCAAGTACACATCTCACCAGTTTAGAGAGTATTGTGTGAAACATGGCATACATCATGAGAAGACAGTTCTTGGAATTCCACAACATAACGGTGTTGCTGAAAGAATGAACCGAACCATCATGGAGAAAGTCAGGTGTATGCTGATGACTGCAAAGTTATCTAAGCAGTTCTGGGGTGAAGCTATAAGAACAGCCTGCTATTTGATCAACCGATCTCTATCAACACTATTATGTCTTGATATTCCAAAGAAAGTATGGACTAGTAATGATGTGTCTTACTCTCGTTTGAAGGTGTTTGGTTGCAAAGCTTTAGTGCATGTGCCCAAAGAACAGAGATCGAAGTTAGACTTCAAGCTACACCGTGTATCTTTCTTGGTTATGGCGGTGAAGATTTTGGTTATAGATTATGAGACTTATACCAGAAGAAGTTTATCAGAAGTAGAGATTTGGTCTTTTATAAAGATCAAACAATTGGGGATTCGGATAAAGAGACACAACCAGATGGCGCAGTCAGAGAAGTTGATCCATTAGCTTCAGATGAAAAAAGTCATGGTGACATCCTTGAAGCAGCTGCCAATGAAGTGCCTGCAGAACCAGATAATGTTGATCAGGGGGAGCCTGATCAAGATATGCCAGACCATGAAATTGCTGATCAGGGGGAGCCTAGTCAAGAAAAGCATAATCAAGGAGAACTATATCAGGGGGAGCCTCCAGCCCCGCAAGAGAATGAAGACCAGGTCAGAAGATCGAGTAGGAGTCGAAGACCATCTACCAAGTATTATTCATCAGAGTATATCATACTGACTAATTATGGAGAGCCCGAAACTTATGAGGAGGCCAGAGCTTATAACGACAGTGACAGATGGATGAAGGTAATGGAGTCAGAGATGGATTCCTTATTAAATAATGATACTTATGAGCTGGTGGAGCTTCCAAAAGGCAGAAAAGCATTGAAAAAACAAATAGGTGTTCAAATTGAAAAGAGACGACAACATGACAAGGTACATGGCTCGTTTGGTTGTCAAAGGTTTTGGTCAAAAGAAAGGGGTTGACTTTGATGAGATTTTCTCATCGGTGGTGAAGATGACTTCCATTCGAGTTATCTTTGGTATGGCAACAAGCATGGATCTTGAGTTCAAGCAGTTAGACATCAAAACTGCATTTCTCTACAGAAATTTAGAATATGAGATATATATATATATGGAGCAACCCATAGGCTTTGAAGTCAAAGGTAAAAAAAATTTGGTGCGCAAGCTCAAGAAAAGCTTATATGGTCTTAAGCAGGCTCCGAGACAGTGGAATAAGAAGTTCAACTCATTCATGGTGAGTAATAGGTACAAGAGAACTCATGCTGACTCTTGTGTCTATATCAAACAATTTTCTAGAGGTAAATTCATCATTTTTTGCTTTATGTTGATGACATGTTGATTGTCAGTCAAGATGCTTTTATGATTAAAAAGCTCAAAGAAGATTTATCTAAGTCCCTTGACATTGAGGACTTAGGGCCAGCCAAGCAGATTTTGGACATGGAGATAATTCGTGACAGAAAATCCAAGAAGTTGTGGCTGTCACAAGTATGTTGAACGGGTGCT